CAGGAGGGGAAGACCCTCTATGAGGTGGATTGATTCAGTGACTGGGGTAATGGGGATGGGTGTGTCAGAGGCAATGTGATTGGCACAGGATAGAGCAGGGTTTAGGGCTGTTGTACATAGGGTCGCTATGAGCCACAAACTACTCGACCGCATATAACAACAACAATCATACTCAGGCTTTGCTTCTGGCCAATGGCTTTTGCAGTTTCAAAACGAAAACTCATTTTCCTATGGAATACATCTTGCCTATTACCAAATCTCATTTTTGTGAATATTTTCAATAAAGAAATCATAGTTGTCTCATAATGTGAGACAAAGGCCTCAGGTTATTCTAGCTTGGTTATTTTATCTTAGTTTCCATACTAGTAGTAATCTATTCCAGACACAAGTATATTATCTTCTCATTCAGTCTCAAACAAGAAAGATATTTTTTCCCTAAAGGTAGAAGTTCAGATACTATTTTTATAATTTTAAAATTGATATAAGTTTACACATGCTTTTCTTTTAGGATATCTTGCATAACTGTTTCATTTAGTTACAATTATTAGTATTTATCCTAATAGATAGGTGTACCTAAATAAATAGACAGCTGTACCTGTTCTTATCAATCAAATCTAAAAGTATCAATCAAATTATATTTTTCACATCTAGTAACAATAAGTGAACAACTGCATAAAATTTCTTATTTTGAAAAGAGTTCCTTAGGGAGCACACAATCTAAATGTTTCCTTTCCACATATTACCAGCATTATTATTTTTATAAACTTAATGAATTTTAATAATCTAAAAATGCCAAAACTGGGGGGGAAAATTCAAAGGTAGAATAAAAGTAATTTGAGTGTATAACTCTGCATTCAAACCTATACCCATTGCTATCAAGTTGGGACCAATTACTAACACTGCAGGACAGAGCAGACCTGCCCTACACAGCTTCTAAGGCTGTACATCTTTATGGAAACACATGACCACTTCTTTCCCCTTAGTGGTTGGTGGGGTTAAACGGAGGGCCTTTTGGGAAGCAGTTGAGTGCTTTACTCACTGAGAGAGCTCCTGTAAATCTCCTCACATGTATTAACATCTTGACAATTTCATTTTTCCATTAAAGCCATCATTATAATGAATGTTTAAAAAGAAAACCAAAACCTAATATAAAGCACAAAACATTCTTCACTTATAAACTTGCTTGACATTTAAGATTCATGAAGCAAGCATTAGAAAGTACATTGTAAAATAAGCTCAAAGACATCCATATCAAAATCACGAAATCTCAAGTTGCAAATAAGAAAATCTATTTAGTTTCATATTAGAATCTAAAGTCATATGGAATGCTTTCCATTTAATGAAATACTAAATACTAAACTTTAAGATAATTTAAAACTTTAAAAGCTACATGGGTAAGACTGTAGTGATAATATCAAAACACACAAGCTTATTTCTTACCGATGGAACTCGTTTTCTTCTAACTTCATTTTCAGCTGACATAAGGAGTAACTCAAGTTCTTTTATTTTCTTTTCCTTATCAGGATCTTCATCAACAAAAGGTTGCTGAAATAAGTTAAACAAGAGAAAATTCAGCTAATTAAATAATTGCTTTATGTTATTAAAATGGTTATTTTCTTCTATGCAATGTGAAACAAATTCTCCAATAAAAATATTTGTTGTTGTTGATGAAGATGCGTACTGTCACATTCCCTTCTCCCACTCCCCAGAGGGACAAAATGGCCCATTTTTTCTTCCACAGAGCAGCTGATGGATTTGAACCATAACCACGTGCTGCTCCTTACGAGACCATGAGAGCTCCCTTTAGTATCAGTAAGGTTTAATGATACTAAAGTGCAAATGTTCAATATCACAATCCAACTGTCACATAGAGAGGTGCAGCCAAATATTGTCACTCTATCAGAAAGATTTAAGAAAATTTAAAGCATAAAACAAATATAGCTTTATCAATTTTTAAATACTTATTTTAAAAGTTTCAATTTATTGAATCTTAATACACATATTCTATCCAATTTAATAAATTTATATTCACACAAAACTTAAATGCTTCAAGCTGGAAGAATGAAAGGATTATGATATTGGTGCTTTTAACCACCTTACATTTACACAGTTTGTAATTATATACTTCACTTGCTTATACACTATCCCTTTAATCCATTAATATCAATGGTTCGTACTATTTGTGCCCTCATTACAGATGAGGAAACAGGCACAATTAGACTTTAAAAAAATGTATCTGAAAGCATATATTCTGTTTTCATTCTATAATATATAAAAAGCTACCTGAATGAAGGCAGACGTCTGAACATGCTCTACACAATTGCCTTCAGGTGACATGTATTGATAGCCCGGGATCTAAAATATAAGTAAATAATTAACATCTTATAAATAGCACTATATACATTTCTTAAATAGGAGTCAAACACAAAAGTTTCTGGCAAGATAACCTTAAAAATTTCAGAAAGTACCTCTATTAACTTATGAAAATTCCTACCTACATTAGTTTCTTAGCTATTACATTTATTATCTACTATTTGTTCTTAAGACTCACTCACCAAATGGCAACTAAACTGACAACCAAAGTGGAAATTAGTTCTAATCTTTTCTTCAAATTGGAGAGAATACATTAATTTGATATTTCAAATTTCATGTTCTTAAACTGCCATGTTCTTAAGTCATGCTGCTTTTGGGTAGTAATGTGCCATCAAGTGCATTCAGATTCAAAGTGAACCTCTATGACAGAGAACTGGTTTCCTGGACTCTAATTAGCAGCTAAATGTTTAATCATTATACCACGAGGACTCAAATCATATAAGCTCTTCTGGATAAAATGTAAAAGTAATTTAGCTTAGATTTATCAGCCAGTCTACTGATTATCTTCCATATGTTTGAAGATTTTTAAAAATTTGTTATTTCAAGGATTGTCCTATCTCCTGGAGAAGATAAATGTTTTCCTATTTCTCAGAGGAAAGGCCTTGCTAAGCACTCACTGAGACAAATCCTAAAGTAGATTTTTCAAAGTACATAGTTGCCACACTTAACATCACCACTAAGCTTTGGGGAGAAAGATATGAAACAAAAGACTTCTCCTAGAAATCAGAATCAATCATGTGCTCTGAATAGATACTGTGACAAAAACAGAAGCGTTCCAGGTTTTTTTTATTCTCATAAACCATAATAAAAATGAAAATTTAATTAGAGTATAGCATACAGTGGGGGAAAAGGATGTCATCAGGGAATAAATTTTGAACACTTAAATCTAATAAATGTAGGATAGTTATGTTGTTGCTATAGTGACTCACAGAGTTGGAACTGACTCACAGCTGGTTTTCAGAAGCAGTATATTGTCCATTTTTGTCCCAAAGAGCAACTAGTGGATTCAAACTATGTACCACTGGCAGCACAATTCCTTACCACTAAGCCACCAGATTTCCCTTATAAGATAGTGTACTTTCCATAGTTGTTGTGTACCATAAAACCGAAATTGACCCATAGCTGATCCCCTGGTGGGTTTTCAGAGGCAGTTAATCATACAGGAGATTGCCTGTCTATCTCCTGCAGGGCAGGTGGTAGCCTCAAACCATGTGTCTTTGCAATTACAGCACAGTTTCTTGTCTCTAGGTCACCAGAGCTCCTTTAGTAGTTTACTTAAATCATTAACTATTACATAAAATTTCTTTTATGTTGCTGTTGTATGTCTTCAAATCAATTTCAACTCACAGCAACCTTATGAATAAAGCAGCATTGCCTCACAGGGTTTCTAAGGTTGTAATCTTTATGGGAGCAGATTGTCCTATCTTTCTTCTATACAGTATATAATTGGTGTCATTTATTACTCAATTTCAAAATGACAACAGACTAGAAACTTCTCTTAAATTTTTCACCAGAATTTGTGAATTAACAACAAAATTTGTGTATTACAAGTGAACTAATTTAATTTTCAAGCCATTATCATTATTCATACTAAAAAGTTTGAATTAAACTATGAATACAAGTCTTATAAAATGTATGAAGAGCAAGGGAAAGAATTTTTAATGCTCAAGAAATACCCTTATCATTCTGCAATAGAACTTACTTTGGTTTAAAATGTTAAAGAACTCCTTTGATCCCAAATAATTTTAAAATTATCTTTCTATAAGTAAATTAAAAATATTTAAATTATAATCTTTCTTAGATCAGAATGTTTTAATTTATACTAATGAAACTTCTTAAATTCTAAATATGAGGAGTCTTACGGAGACAGTTGGTCAAGTGCTGGTCAGTGAATAGAAAGGCTGCTGAGAACCACCAGGTGAGCTGCTCTGTGGGAAGATGAAGCAGCATTCTCCTCTTAAGATTTAAAGACTTAGAAACCAGTAAAGCAGTTCTACTGTTTCATAGGGTCACCACAAGTTGGAATCTATTTGATGGCAGTAGTTTGTTGCTGCTTAAGGTATTGAGTATCTTCAAATAACTACCTTCAAATGTTTTTCTCTTTACAATTAAGATATCATTACTTCTAGAAGTAGTTCTTTTAAAATTATGCTGAAGAAACTTAACAACACCCATTTAATGGGGAAGGAGGGAATCAAATGGGAAGTATATAGAAAGCACAGATTTTTAGCACGTAATTAAATTTAATCTTTTGATATATATTATTTAAGGCTTGACTTAGTCTTTACCTTTTATGTGACAAGAACCAAATATCACAAAATATTTAAAAAATAGCATAACAGGTAGATGAGGAGATATAAAACAAGCCTTATTAAAACTCTTAAACTATTTTTTACAGACAGAAAAAAAAGTACTGTTAGGAACAATATAGATTTCATCCCATTTTGAGTTTAATTTCTACTTTAAGGAGCCAGATTGACATCAAACAACTGATTGTTTAAGGGTAAAAAAACCAAACCTGAATGCCACGATTTGCTATACCCCTAAAAAGAGTAATTTTTACTGTCTTTTTAAGCCATTTTAAAAATACCTATCTCTCAGAAATAATACTACAAATATATAGATTCACACAAAAAAAATTAATGGAAACTATAAAAATTATTCTTTTTACTCATTAAGATGTGAAGAATCATAGTTTTAGTAAATGTCATGTTATATTTCTTAACTAGATTATATAAAAATTATTTATAACAGGAAACTTTTTAAGTGAGTTTGTTCCAAATATTTATCAGTAAAAACAAATGAAAAGGCCCTTAGACACCCTACAAATAAATCCATCCCTGGAAAATCAGGCCTGTAAAGTGAGTACCAACACAAGTATGCCTTAGTACAGTAAAAAATACCAGATGAAAAGGGCAGCATTTTCCCCAAACCAAACCTCAAAAGACAGGAAAAGGCAGAACAGAAGAAGCAATGGAAATAGGAATACAGGGGAAAAGTGAAAAGAGTGCTGCTATACAGGGGGAATGCAACCACTCCTATGAAACATAATCTATAAATTGCTGAGTGGAAAACTAATTTGCTTTATAAAGTTTCACTCAAACTACAATAAAAAGTTGGGGGAGGGTAAAGCTAAATCTCCTAAAAAAAATTTGACCGCAATTAATTAATTAATAAAACATCTTATAGGGTTAATATATAACGTCAGAGTTAATATATAATGCCCTCTTAATAAGGTCTACCAACCCTTTTAAGAAACCACTTTCCCAACTAGCAACTACATAAATTTTAAATAATAAAGGTATTAAAAATATGTGCCTGAACAGGTATGTAAAACTGATTCTGGGTTTGCAAATGATCCATAGGCGCACAAGGTTTGTGTTGAAGTTTAGATGAAGACCGTTCTGATTTTATTCCATCTTGTAAGTAGCCTTCCTGTTCCACTTTTCTTCGCATAGTAGAATTCCAATGATTTTTTATAGAATTATCAGTCCTAAAAAGTGAAAGTGCTTAATTTTAAAAGATAAAAAGGAAAAAGACAATCTACAAACTTTAATACCATATAAATTGTACCAAGTAAGCAGTTAACATGTTTCCCTTCAAGGGCAATTCCATTTTTTTTAGCCACATACATAGAGCTATATTTAACACATTACTCCTAAAGTTTGAATAATACCTTCATTAATTAAGAAGTGGATTTTCCTAAAGTATTTTCACAGTTATTTCATTTAGTCTATTTATTATACTCTAAAGAATTCAATACAGAAAAAATCTTAGATATAAATTCCATACCAACTGAGTTTGTACCATATGTATACTGCCTGACCGGGATTCATACATATAAACATGATTTTGTGAGTATGTTAAGATGTTCACATAATCTTAAACCCTATCATCATTGAAAAATTAATTATATATCCCATAGTACAAAATTTATTAAAAGTTGTTTCAAAGAGTTGCCTGTATCAAATTTTAATTCTAAATAAAGTAAATCATGAGCTTTTGCAAATAAATTTAACATAAATAAAATGACATATAAGTATAGTAAAATATAACTACATTTATATAAGCACCTTCCAGGAAGTAGTTTTGCAATTTCTGCCCAACGATTTCCCAACCGCTTATGTGCTTCATAGATTATCCTGTCCTCCTCTTCTGTCCAAGATGACTTCTTTACCTCAGGATTCAGGTGGTTATGCCATCTTTCTCTACATTGCTTGCCTATTCTTCCTTTTAAGTGTTTTGCTATTAAAGACCATCTTTTTGGTCCATATTTCTGAACTAATTCAATAACCTAAGAAAACAGAAAAACAAAGATTTAAGAAGTAGTAAACTTTTCTAGAATTTAAAAAGATAATTCAAGAACACCATCCTAAATCAAAATAACCTATAAACACAAAAAGACAAAAGTAACCTTCAAATTGAAATGATAAGTTTCAATCTGCAGTTTAATATAAAATTAATTTTAAAAAAGAGTAACAGTACTGAGAATTGAACATTTTCCATATTAAACAATTAAACCCTTAGGTTGAAAGCCAAATAAATCTTTTTGGAAGCAGAAATTACAGAGAGCTACTAGTTTTTAATTTCTCCGTTTCTTAAGCAAAAAAGATTAAACACCTAAATCTGTTACCATCAAGTCAATTTCAATTCATAGGACACAAAGTATGAGAGAGTAGAACTGTCCCACAGAGTTTTATTGGCTATAATCTTTCTAGATGTAGATTGCACAGGTTTTTTCCCCCTCAGTACCACTGTATGGGATTAAATCATAAACCTTCAGATCAGCAGTTTAGTGTAAACCACTCAGGTCCCAATTCTTCAATAACATGAACAACTTTTATACCACAGAGAATTAACTAAAGATAACCTCAGAGGGGGGTGGGTAGGAAGACTAGAAATATAATGGGTAGACAAAGAACACTGCAATGATCAAGAGAGGGGAAGACTTAGAAGAATGGAGATAAAGACAATATGCCTATTACAATTAGCAAAAAAAAAAAGAACAACTTCTATGTAATAGTTTAAAGGAGAAAGATGGGGAAGGGGTGAAAGAAAGGCAAGAAACTCAGTAGGACAGCAGAGATTAGTGAGGGAGGGTTATGGAGTGACAAAACCGTTAAGGTGCAGTGGGGACCTGAGGAGACAGGGAGTTAAAGGTAACAGCTCAATTGTAATTAATTATAGAAAACACAAAGTACAGAAATGATTGTATAAAACAAAATGTACATGAATGAAACTACTGTATAATCATGATATAAATTTTTTTAAAAAAAGAGAAATTCCTAGTAAAGGACAAACATTCTTCTATTTATCTGAGACATTTTATAGTACAAATAGTTATGTTGGTTTTTAAATCACCAAACCTTTTAGAAACACAATGCCTTAGTTGTTGTTATGTGTCGTCAATTCACCTGAGACTCATAGTGATTCGATACACACCAGCCCTAAACCCTGCTCTATCACATGCAAATCTTACTGTCTCCGACAAATCCATCCCCATTACCCCAGTCACTGAATCAATATATCTCATCGAGGGTCTTCCTCTTTTGCGCTGTTCCTCTACCCTCTCAAGCATGAGATCCCTCTGTAAGGACTGATCCCGCCTTGCAACGTGTCCAAAGTAAGTCAAATAAAGTTCAGAAGCCTTGCCTTAGTAGTCATCTTAAATGAGGACCCTTTTAGTCAAAGCAAAAGTTAAGATTGGCTTTTATACATATCAAGTTATTACATGTAAAAAAAAGTTATAAGATATAAAAAGACAATTTAAATCTTTATTTTTAAGTTAATTTTCTTTTTGACAGGAAAATATTCCCTGAATTTTGCCAATCTAAGCTTTAAGCAAAGATGAAGAGGGTAATGTGGTTAAGTATCATTTGGTGGACTACCACTCATAGTGACTGTATGAAAAACATGATGAAATGTTCAAAATCCTTAGCTTTAAGAGAAATGCAAATCAGAACAACTATGAGATATCTCACACCAGTCAGAATAGCAAAATTTAACAGAACAGCAAGCAACAAATGCTGGTGAGGTTGTGGAGAAACTGGAACCCTTATTCATTGTTGGTGGGAGTGTAAAATGGTGCAACCACTATGGAAGGCGTACAGTGATTTCTCAGAAAGTTGGAAATAGAAATACCACTTATCCCAGCAATTCCACTACTGGGAATATATCTTAAAGAAACCAGAACTGCCACCCAAACACATGCACACTCACGTTTATTGCTGTGTTGTTCACAAGAGCAAAGAGATGGAAGCAAAACAAGTACCCATCAACAAAGGAAGGGACAGAGAAGCTGTGGTATAATCACACAATGTAATATGACACAGCACTGAAAAACAAGGACTCATAAAATATTATAAACAGAGGTGACTTTGGAGAATACTATGCTGCATGAAATATCTCAGTCATAAAAGGACAAATACTGCATAATGCCACTGTTATAAAACAGTACTGACACATGGGTTGGGAGGAAAGTGTATAAAAAAGGTAAATAATGAACACTGCATTGGAATAGATGATCGAAAGAACTGTTTAAAAGGAATATACAATTAGGTATTATTTGCATGACAAGAGTCCTGAATAATAAGTGCATAGCAAAGTGGACTAGAGTGGGGCTACAGAGGAAATTATACAACAATGAATGATTTTTTTTAAGGCAACTGGGTGGGGGGTAGGGAGGAAAATATGCAACAATGAATGAATGGAAATCCAAGTTTTCTATAAACTTCTGTTAAAATCACCATAAAAAATATTTAAAAGGAAAAAAAAGTGTGTCTTGGAGTTAAAAAAATATGCTGCATATTTAAATTCATATATTAAAATTACTAGAGCTTCTCCTTCAACTTAGAAGACTGTTGGTAATGACATTTTCACTGTTGTATTTCTCCATGCAGTTTAAATTCCATGATGATCGTATAACACCCTTACTAACAAATATCATCATATAAAAAAAGAAAAACAGATCAGAATCTTGCCCTCTCCTACACTGTCCTCAAGTCCACTGTTATAGTCATTTCGTAACACTGGTCACTTGACTAGGCTAATAGCAAGATTGATTCCCCCCCTCCTAGAAACCAAATACTCAGTACGCATTAATACTTATGAGCAACCTATTATATTTGCTGTGACTTAATTCGGGAGAGAAATAAATCCAGTATTTCAAGATACCTAATATTCAATCCCCATGTACTTGCCAGAAAACAAAATCAAAGTGGTTTTGAAATATTCATTTAAGAGTAAATAGTGTATTAGAAGCGGGGGGGGGAAGGCTAATCATCCATGCAGTGAAAATAAAAAATATGAACATCCTACCCTCTGATCTTCTTCTTTAGTCCAAGGACCCTTTATCAATTCTGGATTTAAAACTTTCTGCCATCGATGCTGGCACTGGAAATCAGAACGATTCTGAAAGATTTAGAAATTTAGGTACTTAATAGTTGCCTTTCAGAAAGCAAGTCAGACCAAATTTAATGCTTTATAGCCTTAAAATTAAAATCTTCAAAAAAAATGCAATTATCAACAGCAACTTTTAACTATGTAATATCATATGTCCAAGTACCAAATCTTATTAAAGTCATCAACTGTGCTTAGACTACAAATAAAATCTCTAAAAAACATTTTAAATTAAAGTATGTACGTCTAGACTATGTCTTATAATCAAGCCGAAAAGCCATGACACAGATGTGAATACAAAAAACAAAAAAAGTAGAAATATGTACTCAAATAGCACAACACATGCATCCATATAGCAGAGTAATAATCATACATAATGCTAGACAATTTAAAAATACTCTAATGGTATTCCTGAACCATCACATGGTATTAGATATTTTAAAATACATCTCCAAGTTATCAAGAAAATGCAAATGTATCTGTATAGAAACATGCATTTAATTATTAAAGTTTAAAAGGAAAATTGATTTTCCAGAATAAGAAAACTTAAGTTTCTTAAAAAACATCTCAACATCTCAACATTATAAAGAAATGAATACTTAGTTTTTGCTTGCTATCTCTGACCTGTCATTAATGATTCACAAAGACTATATATCATTTAGAAAGCTTTTTTGTTAATGTTAAGGAGCTGCACTGTCAATCCAAAGGCATGTGCTTCAAATCCACCAGATCTTCCACAAGAGAAAGATGACCAATCTCCTCCTGTGAGATTACTACCTCTGAAAAACCCAATGGAGGATTAGCTATGAATCAGTTCTGACTTGACCATTCCTAACAACATGTTATCTTGTTTTTGTTATATGCCCTCACAGTCGCCTGCATCTCATAGTAGCCCTATTTACAACAGCCCTAAACCCTGCTCTATCCTGTGACAATCTTGTTGTTTCTGACACACCTACTCCCATTACCCTAGTCACTGAATCAATCCATCTCATCGAAGGTCTTCCTCTCTTGCACTGTCCTTCCACCCTCCCAAGTATGCTGTCCCTCTCCAAGGAATGGTCCCTTTTTGCAACATGTCCAAAGTATGTCAGATGAAGCTTCAGAATCTTTGACTCCAAGGAGCAGCCTGGTCTCACCCTCTCTAGCAGGAACTTGTTTGCTCTCCTGGTAGTCCATGGTATATTCAATACTCTTCTCTAGCACCACAGCTCAAAGGCATCAATTCTCCTTCTGTCATCCCTAGTCATTGGCCAGATTCCTGACAGAAAGCAATTAACTGCAAAGACATAGCCCGGATCAGGCACACGTTAGTCTACAGACTGCAATCACTGCATCATTGCTCTTTAGTACTCTGGAGGTTTCTGACAGCAGACTTTCCCAATGCAATTCATCTTTTAATTTCCTGGCTGCTGGTACCAAGAGTGTTTATTGTGGAGCCAAGTAAACTAAAGCTATTAACAATTTCACTCTCTTCACCTTCTAGCATGATGCTGCCTATTACCCCAGTGGTGAAAAATTTTACTTTTTCTTATTTATTAAATTTAATGAAAGTTTACAGAGACTTAGGGTTTACAGTCATTCACTGTTGCACTTTTCTCCCTGCCCCCCACCTCTCCCAATTCACTCTTCTCCTTGAAAAGAAAAAGAAAAACTCTTTGATTATGATGCAATCCCTCCCCCCAAGTTTACTCCACTATGCAGCCTTCACTCTGGACTTCTGTAATAACCAGAATACCCATTCATATAACGCTTTTAAACAGACCTCTCCCTCATCTGTTTCAATGCAATATATACCATTCCTCTCCTCCTTTTCTGTCTTCCCTCAACCATGATGTCGGTCCCTTTTTACAACAGTGGACCTATGCAATATTTGTCCTTTTGTGAACGAGATATTTCACTCAGCATAATGTCCTCCAGGGTCATCCACTTTGCAAAATATTTCATGAGTTCCTTCTTTTTCAATGCAGCATAGTATTCCATTGTGTGAATATACGAGAGCTTCTCTATCCATTCGTTTCTTTATGGGCACTTAGGTTGTTTCCAACTCTTTGCTATTGTGAACAAAGCCACAATAAACATGGGTGTGCATATATCTTCTTGGGTGGCAGTTATGGCTTCTTTAGGGTAATTTACCAGCAGTGGAATTGCTGGGTCAAATGGTATCTCTATTTGCAACTTTTTGAGAAAGCGCCAGTCTTTCATAGTGTTTGCACCATTTTATACTCCCACCAACAGTGAATAAGGGTTCCAATTTCTCCACAACCTTGCCAGCATTTGATGTTTGCTGTTCTATTCAATTTTGCTATTCTTACGGGGATGAGATGATCTCTCATAGTTGTTTTAATTTGCATTTCTCTTAGAGCTAGGGATTTTGAACATTTCTTCATGTGTCTGTATGTACCTAGGACAAAAAGCAAGGACTATAAGCTTCATTAAAGAAAACCTTGTAAGAACTCTACAAGTCCTAATCCACAACAAAAACAGTCTTCCAAGCATCCTGAAAAATCAACAACCAGGAGAGGATAAAATAGATGAATGGGACCCTATGCACATCCAAATAGACGAATGGGACCCTATGCACATCCAAAAACAACCAGGAGAGGATAAGATAGATGAATGGGACCCTATGCACATCCAAAAACTTCTCCAACAGAGTAAAAAGAGAAGCCATAGATTGGGGGAAAACATTTGGTAATGACATGTCTGACAAGGGACTTATATATAGAATTTATAAAATACTCAAGCACCACAACAAGATAAAGGTAAATAATCCAATTTAAAAATGAGCACAGGATATGAACAGGCACTTCACCAAAGAAGACATTCAGATGGCTAACAAACACATGGAGAATCTTTGTTTTCTTGATGCTGAGCTTTCAATCCATATTGAAGGCTGCAGTCCTTGACCTTCTGCAGCAAGCACTTCAGGTCCTCCTCAGTTTCAGCAAGTACCCTGTCAACCAAGGTTCTGGTTTTGTGTACAATGAAACTCAAATGGCTTGTTTTCAAGGAGACTTTCTCTTTATGGCTTCTGTATTATCAATGCTGATCCATTCTAAGTTACCACTTTCTCCTAAATATGTTCTTAAAATATTTCTGTTTACTTTATGTTATTGAAATTACGCTAGTAAAATTAGTATCAATAACCTGTTGACTATCAGGAATTGTACCAAGTATCCTATTTAACACAGAGTGAGATCAGATGGCCCAGTGGACAGAAAGCGATGCTACCAAGCCAAAGGTGGGTGATTTTTAATCCACGGCTCTCGGGCCTGTCTTTCATTGTTTTTATCCAAACATTCCTCTAGGTCATATAGCCCTGGTGTGTCCACTTGCCGTACAGCGTAACTTGTGCTTGCTGTGAGGCAGAACACTGTGACACTGATGTGTAAAATGTGTTAATGGTTGGTTACCCAATGCAGACAGTGTGGGGTGGAGCTCCCCACTGAAACAAGCTCGGAAGCAGGAGTGGCATCCACTTCCATAATAGCTTGCCTCCAGAAACCCTAGGAACCTGGAGAGAGGATGAAAGACACACAAGCATTGAGGACTCTCCTTCATAGGGTTGCCTGCGACTCAATGGCACTTAACAACAACAACATCCTATTTATTATTTCTGATTTTCACAATATCATAAGCAAGTTCTAGTATCTACATACCAAAGATAAAGAAACTAAAGGTCAAAGAGGTTAAGTAATTTTTCTAAAACTAAACTCATTTGAACAAAATACAAATTGACTACAAAACTTATGCTGTATCCTTTATATGGTCTTGAATGTCAGGTTGGAAATTATGAAGATATATAAAGAACTTAGTTTTGGGAAAGGCATATGCCAGGGATGTGTCCTATCTCCATACCTTTTCAACCTGTATGCAGAGTAGATTATCCGAGAGGCCGGGCTCTATGAGGAGAAGTGTGGTGTCAGGATTGGTGGAAGATCTATTAACAATCTGCATTATGCAGATGACACAACCCTGCTTGCCGAAACTGAGGAGGACCGGAAATGCTTGCTGCAGAGGGTCAAGGACTGTAGCCTTCAGTATGGATTGAGGCTCAATGTCAAGAAGACAAAGATTCTCACCACTGGATCAATTGGCAGCATCAGGATGATGGTGAAGAGATTGAGATTGTTAACAACTTTAGTCAGCTTGGCTCCACGGTCAACACTCCTGGCACCAGTAGCCAGGAAATTAAAAGGCGTATTGTGATGGGAAAATCCACTGTTAGGGACCTCTCCAGGGTACTGAGCAATGGTGTCACTCTGGAGACTAAGGTGCATCTGATACAGGCTATGGTCTTTGCAATCACTTGTCATGCATCAGAGAGCTGGACAATGACTAAGGAGGATAGAAGGAGAATTGATGCCTTTGAGCTGTAGTGCTGAAGAAGAGTACTGAACGTACCCTGGACTGCCAAGAAAACAAACAGATTCATCCTGGAGAGGGTTAAACCAGGCTGCTCCTTGGAGGCAAGGTTTCTGAGGCTTCATCTGACATACTCTGGACATGTTATAAGAAGGGAGAGGTCCTTGGAGAGGGACATCATGCTTGGGAGGGTGGAGGGACGGCACAGAAGGGGAAGACCCTCTATGCGGTGGATTGATTCAGTGACTGGGGTAATCGGGATAGGAGTGTCAGAGACAGTGAGATTGCACAGGACACACCAGAGTTTAGGGCTGTTGTACACAGGGTCCCTATGAGTCGCAAGTGGCTAGACGGCACATAACAACAACATAAAGAACTTAGATGATGACCTTGTTTCTAAAATTCAAAACAGTCAACATCAAAATCTAAATATGAATATTCTAACTACTGACAATATAGCAGAAAAAACAAAAGTATACAAAATAATACTTTTAAAATTAATGACATTAAAATGAATACTATGTGAAAAGTAGTATGGTGAATAGTTATTTTACAAAATACATATAATTTTAGAATTATGCCTAAAATAACAAACTTTTTTCAATCAAGCTTTATGATTGGCAGATTATTGGTAAAATTTCAAATGATTGGCAGATTATTGGTAAAATTTCAAAATATTTTAATATTTTCAATTTATCTAAAAATATTTCCATATTTCAGTAAACATTTGTAAAGTTCTACTCAAACATAATATTACTTTTATTTTACATTTAGTAATTTTGTTAAGCCCAAATGTATTACTAAAAATTAAGATTTTCTATGTCACTAGTAACTATAGGTAGAGTAACAAAGATGCTTTTATGGAAGAAAACCTAAATCTAAAATATATTAAAAAAACTTACATTTTGGAAAAATAGCAAGCTTAATCCAATAATTCAAATCAGTTCTATCATACATAAAGCTAAACATTATACACTTACTTGAAGATGACTAGCAATTAGAGTCCAATCATCAGTTCCATGCTGCTCAACCAACTTCTTTAGCTTATCATCCTGTTAAGATAGGTATGAAAATTAGGAGACTTTCCCCTACTTCACTTCTCTTCCCTCAACTACACAAACCTCTTTAAATTTATCAAGTCCTTTTTAAAAGGCAGAAGCAACTGAAGTTGCCCCATTAACTATTCTTCTTTGTCAAGGCTAACATTAACCTACTATTCATGTCTCTGGCAATTAAATGCTATGCATCAGAAAACTGGACAATGACTAAGGATGACAGAAGAATAGATGCCTCTGAGTTGTAGTTCTGGAGAAGTGTCTTGAACTTACATAGACCTCCATGAAAGCAAATAGGTCTGTCTTGGATAGGGTGAAACCAAGTTTCTCCTTGGAGGCTAGGATTTTGAAGCTCCATCTCACATACTTTGGGCATGTGGCCAAAAGGGACTAGTCTATGGAGAAGGGTATCACGCTTGGAAAGGTGCAGGGACAGAGCAGAAGAGGAAGACTAGATGAAATGGATTGACATGATAAATAGGGCAATTTAGGTGTGTTGGAGTCAGTGAGACTGGTTCAGGACAGGATTCAGAGCTATTTACTGTACAGAGGGTCACTTTGAGTCACAGGCAATTCAACCGCTTACAACAAACACATGTCTCTGCTTAAAAAAAAAAGTAACTGCAAGCTAGTTACGGATTACCTTTTTATGTTTTAATATGCATTTCACATAATATAGTACTATTACTTTTAAAGTATATAAATAAACTTAGTAACCCTTGCCATATAACTACCTCATCTCTCGTCCATTTAACTCTGTTCCAGAGCTTCTTCAATCCTTTTTGCTGTGGTACTTCATAATCATGATCAGCATACTGAAGGTCATCATCCTCATCCTCACTACACAAGAGATAATTCATTAAATTAAGAATTTAATTTGTGAGTTCAATCATTGACACCATCTGTGTGTGTAGATATGACTGAAGAAGTTATTTAGTCTAAATAACAATCTAACAACACAAAACAAAAAATTTCATATATTAGGAGCTATAATTTCTCACTTCTTGTTATGACTGAAGAAGAAGTGATGCCTTTCAGCTACGGAGTTGGAGAAGACTACTGAATGTCTCATGGACTGCCAAAAGAAAAAAAACAAATGTTTCCTGGAAAAATGCAGCCAGAATGCTCCTTGGCAGCAATGATGATAAAGCTTCATCTCCACCACAAGAAGATAAAGGTAAATAATCCAATAGAAAAATGGGCACCGGATATGAACAGATACTTCACCAAAGAAGACATTCAGATGGCTAACAAGCATATGAAGAAATGTTCAACATCCCTAGCTCTAAGAGAGATGCAAATTAAAACAACTATGAGAAATTACCTCACCCCAGTCAGAATAACAAAATTTAACAGAACAGCAAACAACAAATGTTGGTGAGGTTGTGGAGAAACTGGAACCCTTATTCACTGTTAGTGGGAGTGTAAAATGGTGCAACCACTGTGGAAGGTGGTATGGCGCTTTCTCAAAAAGTTACAAATAGAGGTACCATTTGACCCAGCAATTTCACTACTGGGAATATACCCTAAAGAGATCATAACTGACATCCAAGCAGATATATGCACACCCATGTTTATTGTGGCTTTGTTCACAATAGCAAGGAGTTGGAAACAACCTAAGTACCCATCAATGAACAAATGAATAGAGAAGCTTTGGTATAGTCACACAATGGAAAACTACACTGCATTGAAAAACAAGGAACTCATGCAATATTATTCAAAATGGGTGACCCTGAAGGACATTCTGCTAAGTATCTCAATCACAAAAGGACAAATACTGCATGGTGCCACTGTTGTAACACAGGACTGACATTGGGGTTGGGGGGGTGACTGAGAAAGATGGGTACAAGAATGTATACTGCATTGAAACAGATGAGGGAGAAAACTGTTTAAAAGGGATATGTGATTAGGTATTTTTGTCATGACGGAGTCCAGAGTGAAGGCTGCATAGTGGAGTGGACCTGGGGGAGGGTTTGTAAAGCAATGAAAGAATTCTTTTACTTTTCCAAGAGGGTAATATACTAGGGGGGGAGGGTTGGGAAGGGGGGAAAAGTGCAACAATGAATGAATAGAAAACCAAAGTCTCCGTAAATTTTTGTTGAAATTAATAATAAATTTTTTAAAAATCCGTTTTTAATTAAAACAAAAGCTTCACCTCACATACTTTGGGCATGTTGCTAAGGGAGGCTATTTGTTGGAAAGAGACATTATCCTTGGAAAGTGAGGGGCTGGCAAAAAGGAAGATCTTGAACCAGATAGACTGACACAGTGACTGCAGTAATGGGCACAAGTGTGTCCGAGATGTGAGGGTGGTACAGGATAAGACAGGGTTCCAATTTGTTGTAGATAGGTCTATGAGTCACACTCAAATCAATGACACCTAACAACAAAAACATGGTTTCTTGTTGACATTAGAAAGACAAGGCTGGATATGTCACCAAAGATAAAATATAACCTTGGATGCAACTTTTATGCTAATGCTATAAATTTAGGTGCTTTAAATTAGAGAATGAAAGCTAAAATTTTATTTTTGTTTTAGAAAAAATACTGGCAATAGTATGGAAAAATTGGAGGAAGGTAATTTATTCTATTAGAAGTATTCTAACAATCACCCAAGTAAAAAATCCTTAGGACTTAACAAAGGGTAATGGTAAAACAAAAATTAGTAGTTAAAACCATAATAAATTAAATTATTCATTAGCAATGTCAAAAACAAATTAAAATTATCAAGAAATATTTTAAAGTACAAGATTATATATAGTAAATGATAAAACACTACTAGGATACACAAAAGATTTGAGCAAATGGAAGAACAGTCCACATTCTTAGAGAAGAAAAATATTATAGAGATGTTCAACCAAATAAATTCATAAATTTACATTAAATTAATAAGAATACCAACAGAGTTTGGGAGGAAGTTATACAAACTGATTCCACAGTTCATATGAAGCAATGATTGTGAGAAAAGTTCTAAAATCAGTAGGAATATCAGTACATGGTTGGAAAGTTGGTCAGTGAATAAGGATTACAGAAGAGATTATGAGTTATCATGTTGAAGACTACTCAATGTCTCATGGACAGTCAAAAGAACAAATAAATGCATCTTGGAGAAGGTGAGACCAGAGTCCTCCTTTGAAGCAAGAATAGTGAAAACTCATCTCACATACTCTGGATGTTAGGAGGGGCCATTTCTTAGAAAAGATCATCATGGTAGGAAAGGCAAAAGATCAGCAAAGGAGGGGAAGACCCTCAATGAGACGGATTAATAGTGACTGTAACAATGGGTTCAAGTATAGCAAAGATAATGAGGGTAGTAGAGGATAGGTTAGGACTTAACAAAATTCTAATCATATTCATGTGAGCAGGGAAAGAGAAACTAATCATGCAGAGATGACTGGCAACTCTTTACACAGAGATGATTAGCAGTATCAATAGGAGTAAAAATCCAAGCACAAGTAGGCCCACAGCTCAAACCTGTGTTCAAGGGTCAATTGTACATGGAGAAATAAACAGATTTTGGAACAGATGAAGGAATCAAAGATGACTCCAAAATAGCTGGGTTGGGAAATGTAATTAGAGTTATTTGCTGATAAAAAGGAAAAGAGATAATTCTGAGAAGAAAAAAAAAAAGGAATAGGGAAATAAGTTTTGACTTAGTGGATTCCAAGGTACCTGAAATAAATATAAATAATGTCCAACATAAAACACTGTAATTTTAAAGTTTTTAGGAGCCACATTAAGACATAAAAATGAACAGGTGATATTAACTCTAGAATTCAATATATTTAAAATATTATTTCAACATATAATTGACATGAAAAATTATAGAGGAGGGGTAAAAATGTATATCAATTAATGAAAACTCATCCTTTCTATAAATTTTCACTAAAATCCCAATTTTAAAAATTACAAACAAAATATTTTACATTCATTTCCCTGAGTAATTTTCCTGAAAGCTTATCCATTTTAACGTTACAATTCTATCACATTCTTTTTGGCCATATATGCTCTTTGTGAACAATTTCTACTTGTACAGGTTTCATACTTTACTTCACAAGGTCACTGGTTTCAGACACTGTTCCACAGCCCATTAATACTCAGGAAACTAGAGTGTTGCGTAGGTTAGTGAAGAAGCATTAAAGTAGAAGAATTCTTAGAATCACCTATCCACTACTGAGTATTTCCTAGAATCTATTATACATCTTAGTTCTGGCATCAAGTTTTTCCTAAAAGGTGATCGCTGAAGTATGATAGAACTTTTAAAATAAATATTCAGAGTAAAAAAGATCCTAGAAGTATATCAATGGGGAGTTCTGGTGGCTTAATGGTTGCAAATCCCAGAGTCATCTATTTCCATGCAGTTCAAAGCCACCAGCTGCTCCAAGGGCAAAGGATGGGTAATCTCCTTCTGTGTGATTTACTGCTTCCGAAAACTTGCTGGAGGGTCACCTATGGGTAGGTTCCAACTCAACCAAACTCAACAAGAAAAGCCTTAAATATCACTAGCTACAAAAAAAACACAACACAAACAAAAGAAAAAAAACAAAACTTCTGCGAATGCCTATAATTTGCTAAGAATAAAATGGAAAGAATAAAACCTCCAAAGTAACCTCACCAACATTTCATTTTCATCATTTAGAAATCAGAAAAGATATGCTTCAATTTTCTGGTTTTTATATCATCTTTTTAAATCTTTTAGCTTTTTTGTATGATAACAATAAACTCTGGCAAAACACAGTAATTAAATAACATCAGCCTCCTACCCTAGAGTGACTAATCCAGATGGTAACTAAAAGGTGAAGCATTTCTCCCGTCAGAAAGCAAAAAAAGAAGAGGGATCTGGTCACTGACACTCTATTCTAGGACCAGGTTTCCACAATTATTTTGCCAGTTTTATTAGTCAGAGAAAATAGTTCTTTTGTAACTGTCTGTAACAAAACCAATGTCCAAACAGAACATTTTCTGGGTTATCAATGACAAAGTGTCTATGATAATTATGAAACAACAAAACAAAGCAAAGGAAAAATATTCTCCCAACTAAATAGGCCAGGATTACAGTTACCAGTAACTTTCCATTGGGTATAAAATATTAAGAAGAGGGCAGTCATGATTATAAAATACAAATATTATTCACTTTTATTACTGTTAAGATAAAACCTTTTATAGTTTATTTTTTAAGAACACCAATTACAGGATCTGGTGGGGAAAAAAATGAAGCTGTCAAAAGAATAATGTGAGGTGTGTGTTTTTTTGGGGTTTTTTTTTCCATTTTAAAAGAAACTAATGGTTGACATTAAAGAAATCTCTCTCAACTGTCAAGTTTGAACTGATGCAATGCCAACCCTCCAGTAGGTTTTAAAGACTGAAAATCACCCAGGAGTTTGACTGTCTTTCTCCCAAAAGAGCCACTGGTGAGTTGAAACGACCAGAGAGATGTAGCCTTTGAGTCAGCAGCATAACTGCCTAAGGACTAGACCACCAGAGAGCTTCCTAAAGAAGTAACACAAGTTCTATAATAAGGGCTCTAATAAAAGCACTTCAACTTGATCACATTTTAAACCACAAACAGCCTCAAATCTGAAAATTTTACCATCATAAAAAAATATATCTGTATTATGCTGTCAACTGAAGAAGACAGGATAACTGCACATTTGGGGGTTTTAAAGTTCAATTTGATTCAAGGTGTGGAAATTGACAGTAAAGTTAAAGCAGGCCACCTAGTGGTTAGTATGATGTGCTTCATACAAGAATATTTTATCTGGTTTGTGAAAGCATTATCTCTATCCCAAGACAAATTTTCTTCACAAATCTTTGACCATCATAAATAGCAACACTTAAATATAGAAGTGAGTTCTATTACCTATAAACAAAAATAATGCAAGCCCATTTCTCAATCCCATTAATGGGTGTATATTTTTAAATAGAAAAGGGGATTATGAAACATCTCCAAAATAGAGTATATAGTAAAGCTAGAAGTTACCTTACAAATCAATCTAGCCTAATTAAATGATGAAAACCTGGGGTATGGGATTTAAATGCTTTACCAGAACAATACTGTTGTTGTTATGTACTGTTGAGTCACTTGCTACTCAAAACTGACCCTTATTATAATAAGTTAGTCTCTTATTTTTGGTGTGGTTTTTTTTTACTATTACTTTGTTAGAAACAATACAGTAATATGGCTTGTGACACACATACTACTGAAAAACACCTTCCATTTCAAGAGCTAGTTCTGATCTTTCATGTATAGCTTTTAAATGTTTACTCTTAAGGGTTGACTACTTTTTTAAAAGTAAAATTATTTATACTAAAAGATGCTTAAAATAAATATAAATTTTAGTATTACAAAGTTATATCATAAAAACTGCCAGTGGGATAAAAAAAATAATTAAAATAAAATTAGTCTTTTCCTTTCAATAAATCTAGATTAATAATACCATGGCTATTTTAAATACTAATCAAAACAGCCAAACCCTAGGTTGATTCACACTTGAGGTAACACTTAAGTTTTTCACTTTATAACGTATTTTTCCCCCCAGCTGACACAGGAAAAAAAAAAATCACAGGATTTATGCCTATAATCTTATGCAAAGCTTTTAAACTTCAAAGTATATTTTTTATTTAAATGGCTGTATACTGGTGATCATAAAGTATAACACAAAGTGACTAAATTATTTCCTCTTTTGAAGATAAATTAAGTTTATGCAAATTTTTAGGATATCTATTAGACAAAAGGCAAAAGCCTGCATTTTGTCCAACAGATAGTTCCATTTTTAGTAAAATTTTATATTAGAATATGAAATTAAGTTAATAAAACATGTTCTTTTATTAAAACACTTTTTGTTAACTTCTAAGTTAAATAATCATATTTACATACACAATAATTTAGATCAAGAAACACAACTGAAGCATGAATGTGAGACATAATCCTGAGATGTCTCACCACATCCTCTATTTGTATGCTCCCATGAGAGTGTAGCTTCACTCCACATTTCACAGACCTATGACTCTTCATTCAGTTTAATTTGCAAAGCTAGCAAAGATTTAATATTAATAGCACAACAGATGTTTAGATCTTACAGTTCAGAAAATTGTGAATAGCCGAATATGTGCAATTATAAAACAGAAAGTCAGTTGGGGTGGGGAAGGTTCTGACATCCATACATGCATATCTTAACCATAAATCTAACTAAACACTGCTAATTGCAGTCATCAAGAAGTTGCTTCACATAAAACATCAATACTAACTGGTAGATAATACTACACTGAAGATCAACTTTTGTTAAATTGATATATTCTCTTGTCATTTTGGTTAAAGAAGTTTTTTATTTATGAAATTGTATCCAAAGGAAAATGTCTAAGCCAATACTACAGTAATCATAAACAGAGGAGATTGTATTATCTATCTTATCTGAAGACTATGGGGTTAACTAGGTCCTTGAATTTCTAGAAGAGTTCTAAGCCAGAGATGACTTTGTCCCTCACGGGTCATTTAGCAATATCTGGAGACATTTTTTTTAGTGGCATTTACGGATCAGAGGTCCAAGGATAGATGGATAGATAGATAGATAGATAATGCAGAGGATGGAGATAGATAGATAGATAAATGATAGATAGACAGACATAGATATATATATATATAATGCAGAGGGCAGCCTCCACTATAAGAGTTCTTCCATTCAAAATGTCACTAGTACTAAGGTTGAAAATCCAGCTCTAGATAAGTGTGTGAATTTGTTCCACCTCCAGGGTTTGTCCTATACTATACACTTGCTACAAAATATTAAGCAAACAAGGGCGTAATTATATTTTACATTCATTACTACAAAAGTCTTTTGTGCATACTACTTAGTAAATTAATAAAACAAAGACTACGTATGCGGTTACCTCTAATTTTGAGAGTTTAATAGCATCTTCAGTAAGTGAATCCAAAGCAATACATTTCAAAAGGAAATACATTCCTAGTTAAGAGTTTGAAGATGAGCAAACATCTTTACAGGTTTACATAACAATACTGCAAAACTGAAAGACGCTCTACATATCTTTTGTATTTCAAGGATTACTTCACACAATTTAGAAGAAGCTATTACAGGTCAAAATTAGATTCAAAATTACTCATCCGAGTTTTGGTGTTTTGGGTTTGTTTTAAAAAAAACCAACAACAAATGCCCAATACCTGTACAGCACATTTCAGGTACAATCAAAGCCAACATGAACCCTCAAAATTGTAAATGAATCAACCAGACACGTTTTATGTTCAAAACTACTGAGAGTAATATTTTCTAATATATGTGAAGTTGATAGCACGGGTATGGTGCTAACTGAAAACATTAAAAAGACCCTTTCTTTTGTTTTAGAGTAAAGCAGAAATAGCTACTGGGTATAGAACTGTATCTGAAGTCCTATGGCAAATCCAAAAAAACCCTCTATTTGCAGCTTCCCAGTTTCACCCACCTTGCTAGTATTGCTCCTTTATTACGCACATATAGTACTGGCATCTTAAGAGCTGTAGCTCCTAAGAACAAAGGAACATGAGTTTACATCTCCATGCCCTACTAAGTTGGACTAAATATATTCACCTGACTCTCAGTTTCCTCTTTAGTAACACCTATTGTGTATTTCCCCTTTCTGATGTTTATGAGTATTTTGATGTCTGATACGCTGTAGGCATGGGTTTGCTACCTATATCAGAGGGTCTCTCTTATCTAAGAAACCAGATAGCAAATGTAAGAGTATCCCATTTTTAACAACTGGATGTAAATGAACTTCAATATTGTAACCTGTAGCCACCTGACACTAGCTAGTCTGGGGATTAGCTGTCATTGTGGCTCTTAGATTCTCCCAGCTTATCTTTCCCCCTTTTTTACTTTTTACAGGGAATACTTTTTTTGACTCTCTGTGCCCGCAGTGGTTACTGGCTTTCCCCTACACCAAGCCTCAGTTACGCCCCAGAGAATTTTCCATGCCGTTCAATAGAGCCAGGTGGAGGGCGGGGTGCCCGCCTGGGTTGGTCAGGGAGTTCCTGGTTGAGGGCGGCAGTGATTCCGAAGAGAGAATCCCTCGGAGGCTCCAGGCGGGACGCCACCACTCGTACCTGCGTGGCGATCCCTGAGCGCGCAGACTTCCCTGGAAAGAGACCCTCTCCCAGGAGAAATGGCTCCGAGAAGGCAGGAGCAGGCCAAGAGCTGCGGGGAGACTCACCGCCGAGGAGCAACCGGGGCTGCGTCACTTTCTGCTACTTCTTCCCAGCCGTCCCTAACTCTTCCAACACGCCACGCAGGCCTCGGGGACATGGGGCCAAGGGCGCTGGGGGCAACAGGACGGGCAAGTCCGGACCCAGCCAGGAACGGCCTGGTGGGAGGCGGAGGGAAAGGGAAGAGGCCAGGGCCAAGCGATGTCACCCACCTGCGCGACCTCTTCGCCATCCTTCAAGTACCACATAGGCACGGGCAGAGCAGGGATGCAGCTCAACCTCCTCTAGCCTCTGGAGAATGCTCCTCTCCCTGACCCTCCCGCTAACTTCTCCTGCAGCCTCCGCGAAGCGAACGCAGGGCAGCACCAAGCGACCGAGGGATGGCCCGGCCCCCGACCCGCAGCCCCGGCCTGGTCAGGACAAGGGCGGCCCTGACATGTCACGACGCGCGCTCCCGCCCTCAGGCCGCCTTTCCACCTCCCCGCCGAGGCCTCAGCACAGCTCCGCAGCGGGAGCAGACCCCCGCCCCTCCCCGCAGCTAGTGGCACTGCAGGGCTCGCAGCCGCCTGCAGGGTTTTGTCCACACCGCCGAATCTCGCGCCCAGCCTCCCTCAGGAGCCGCCGTTTGAATCTGCGCACGCGGCCCCGAAGCTCATTGGCTGCAGCGGCAGCACGAGGGGGGCAAGGGGCGGGGCAGGGAGAGCGCGCGCTGCTGAGGACGGGGTAGGAGAGCTGGAAGCGGGGTCTGGAACGCTGCGGAGTAGGGTTGGGAGTCAGGGGGTGGGGTTGAGGCCAGGCGCGCGGGCCGAGCTCTGACAGGACCCGGAGCGCGCTGAGCGCAGCGCCGCGAGGGGGCGGGTCGCCGAGGGCCACGCGCAGCGCCGCGAGGGGGCCGGTCGCCGAGGGCCGCGCGCAGCGCCGGAGAGGCCTGCCGGGAAAGCGAGTCCCTGCGTCCTCCGTGGGGCGTGTAAGAGGGCGGCGGGGTCGGTTCGGCCGCCCCAGACTTTCCGGAGTGGGTGGCTCCGCCACTCGTCTTTCTCGACTTTGTACTTTTCCTTCCTTGAGTGTATCCTTCCTCAAGGAAAGGGAATCTTAAGACTTGAAAGGAACATGCGCAACCGTTATTTTTAAGCAAACATTGAAGCTATTTTTGGCCAAACAGCATAACTGCCAGATTGCCAAGACTGACAGAAAACTGAATTTCACCTACTTCAAGATAACTAGAGTTGCTGTGTACCGTTGACTCTGTCAGCACCCACCCATAGTTGAGATTTCCATCCTGATGGATTCGAACCACTTGACTTTGGGATTGCAACACAACTTCTTACCACTAGGCCACCAAAGTTAGTATTGTTAGGTGTTAGAGTCAAGGAGACTCAGCAACCCAATAAACAGCCATCCTGAACCCTGCCCTATCTTGTGCCAGCCTCTTTACCTACACATTAGAGCCCATTGCTGAAGTCACTGTGTCAATCCATCTCATTGGGGGGGGGGGGTCTTCCTTTTCTTAACTGACCATCTTTCCAAGCATGATATCCCTTTTCAAGGAATAGTCTCACCTACCTACATGAGCAAAGTATGAAAAATGAAGCCTCATCATCCTTGCCTCAAAGGAGCACTTTGATTGTACCTTCTCTGAGACATGTTCTTTTCAATCTGCATATTGAGCAAATAATTCACAAAGCCAGACTCTATGAAGAAGAATGTGGCATCAGGATCGGAAGAAGACCAATAAACAACCTGTGTCATGCAGATAACACACAACTTTGCTTGCTGTAAATGAGAAGAATATGAAATGCTTGAAGATCAAGGGGACCTATACCCTTGATGTATGGATTACATCACAACATAAAATTAAACAAAGGTCCTCACTACAGGCCCATCTCAAAATTATGATAGATGGAGAAAGGATTGAAGGTGTCAATGAATTCAATTCCTTGGATCAACAATCAACCAGAGGATAAGAGCAGGTGAAAAAAGTTTTCATCAAGAAATGTACTTAAATGAGGAAAGGGAAATATTCTTGCTCTACAGCTGGTCTTTAAAGTGTATCTTTCATAGGAATTAATCTATAAGCGAGGTCTAGGAGCCCTGGACCAGAAAGGGGAAATAAGGGAAGATAGAAATTTTTCCAGGGACTAAAAGTAACAGTAAAAAGTAACCATTCTTTCTCAAGAATGGCTGAAGGAGCTAGAAGCATATGTGCCTGTTGTTATTGTTGTTATGTGCTGTAGAGTCACCTGCAACTAATAGCGACCCTGTGTACAACAGCCCTACCCTGCCCTATCCTGTACCAATGTCACCGTCTCTGACACACCTACCCCCTTACCCTCGTCACTGAATCAAACCATCTCATCAAGGATCTTCCTCTCCTGTGCTTTTCCTCCACCCTCCCAAGCATGACATCCCTCTCCAAGGACTGGTCTCTCCTTGCAACACGTCCAAAGTATGTTAGACGAAGCTTCAGAATATGTGCCTCCAAGGAGCAGCCTGGCTTCATCCTCTCCAGGACAAACCTGTTCATTCTCTAAGCAGTCCATGGTATATTAAATACTCTTCTCCAACACCACAATTCAAAGGCATCAATTCTCCTTCTATCATCCATGGTCATTGTCCAGCTCTCTGATGCATAGCAAGTGACTGCAAAGACCATGACATGTATCAGGTGTACCTTAGTCTCCAGACTGATATTGTTGCTCTTCAGTACTTTGGAGAGGTCTCTAAATGCCGACTCTCCCACCACAATACATCTTTTCATTTCCTAGCTGCTGGTGCCAAGAGTGTTGATTGTGGAGCCAAGCAAACAATCTCAATCTCTTCACCATCTATCAATTTGGTGTCCATCGGCCCAGTGGTGAGAATCTTTGTTTTCTTGATATTGACCCTCAATCCATACTGAAGGTTGCAGTTCCTGACATTCCACAGCAAGCACTTCAGGTCCTCCTCAGTTTCAGCAAGCAAGGTTGTCATCTGCATAACGCAGATTGTTGATGAGTCTTCCTCCAATCCTGATGCCACATTTCTCTTCATAGGTAGATAGAGCCCAGCCTCCTGCATAATCTGTTCTGCATAAAGATTGAAAAGCTATGGAGATAGGATACATTCTTGGCATACACCCTTCCCAATTTTGAACCATGCACACTGTTTCCTTGCTCTGTTCTGACGTCTGCCTCCTGGTCAAAGTATAGGTTTCACATTGGCACGATCAAGTATTCTCGGATTCCCATTCTTGTCAGAGTTAGCCACAGTCTGTTGTGATCCACACAAACAGCTTTGAATAATCAGTGAAACACAGATATGCATTCTTCTGGTATTCCCTGTTTTCAGCCAAGATTCATCTAACATTAACTACAATATCCCTAGTACCACAACCCCTTCTAAATCCAGCCTGCACTTCTGGTAGTTCTTTGTCGATATGCTGTTCCAGTCATTTTGGGATAATCTTCAGCAGAATCTTGCTTGCATGTGGTATTAATGATATTGTTCGATAATTTTCACACTCTGTTGGATCACCTTTCTTTGGAATGGGAACAAATATAGATCTCTTTCAGTCAGTTGGCAAAGTGGTTATCCTCCAGATTTCTTGGCACAACTTGGTGAGCACATCTAGGGCTGCATCTCTTAGTTTAAATATGTCAATTTAATGACTACTAAATGCTTAGGTCAAGTAGATTATAGTAATGCTAAAAAATGGTTAAGGAGCCAAATTTGCAGGCCAACATGCTCTACTTCATAGAGCATTGAACCACATAGCAAACTGGCATTTTGCTATTTTGAAATTTTATGTGTCATCTTTTGCAAATTGGAGATGCAGGTGCAAATGTCGTTTAAAAGGAGCTTTCACGCATTGTTGTCAAAACCTGAAACACCTGCCTTTGTATTTTTTTCTTTCCTACTCCTGCCCTCCCCACCCCACCACAGGTGTACATTCTGGGAAGCTAAAGAAGTGTTTCTTGTAAATCATTCCTTACTACGGTTTGCTGGTCCAGTTTAAAACCATACCAAACCAAAACCCTCCAAAAATGTAATTCAGAAAGAAATGTCATTTTCTTATTTATTCCTGGTCATATTCTATTCATATTCTAACAGGAAGCATAATGTCTGCTGTATTTTGGACTGTATTCTGTTTTACACAAGATACAAGAGGTTGTTTTTGGGGTGTTTTTTTTAATTTTTTTTAGTTTGAAGGCAGGTATTTTAAATTTTTGTCAGTAAAATCCCTTTCCTTTTACAGGCTGAGAAAGAAAGTCCTCAGATAAAATGATACAAAAAAAAAGTTCTAAAGCAAGACAATGTGTGAAACTAACATGGTAAGTCAATTGTATTTATATATTACATAATCCAAAGATTGATTTTGAAATGGTTCAATAAAATTGCCCAAGTTTCTCCAGTAAAGTACCCTCAAAGCACAAGGAACTGAGTATGAAGTGATTGTAGGAGGAGGGGAAGTATTCAGGAGTGAATGTTATAAATATCTTTAAAACGATTTTTATCTTTAAAAACTGATGTAAAATTTGCATTCTATTCCATAAGTATATATTATTTGTTTTTATTGTAAAACAAGATTTTTTTTTAAAATGAAATATACTTTTAGTAAAACAAGCTTTTTAATATTGAAAATTAATTCTTCCTTGCTCTGCAGTAAAATGGTTTCTAAAAAAAAAAAAACCCAAAATGTTCAGTCCTCAACCATCCATCACAAAATTCCAACTAATTCTCACCTTCTCTCAAAGGCTAAACAAATAGCTCCCAGTGTTTGCTTATGCTAATTTGGAAAGTTCTGGTTAAAGAAGTACGTAAGA